TGAAAATATGGCTATACTGTAATTATGTATGTTGATACGTTACATGTAAATAGTTTGAACATCTTTACAATTGAAAATCAATCAAATGTGTAACCAGGATTTCGAATGAACCGAAAACTATGCAGCATCCAGTGCCGAAAGGTCAGGAGTACATGTATTAAACAAATAATACAATATTCTTAGCTGTAGACAAAATAACAAGAGAAAGATGGAACGAAAATTAAATAGATAAATTCCAAAAGACCACAACAAGTTCGTGTACAGGACATGCTGAATTATGGACACCATACTAAGAATTATTTGGATAAATTACAAAATTACCGTTTAATACGTTTAATTTCTTAAAATGATAAGTCAGGGAATGAGTCTGGATATCGACTTAGAAAATATTGATAATTGTAGTCTGAAAAACCAACTCAATTACACATATTATTAATAAACCTCAATATCCTATCCCTTTTCTGAGAGCCAAAATACCAATTTGTTTCACGATTAACAGATTAATGAAGAATATTGGCATTTAAGAGATTGTATATCAATATGCCAGAATTGAAAAAATTTCAAGTGCAAATGCTCAATGAATGATTTATAAAAAGTTTGAAACTCATTTGAACAGACGTTAAAAATGTTGAATGGAATTTCTTGATAACTGAATAGGTGTTTATCAGGGTAATCAAGGGATTATCTGATTATAGTCAATCCAAGTTATTGTGCATCCAGTTTTGTTGACACCTCAATTGTGTTGGGGCTGACTTGTACATTCAAGTACTTAGTATATATTTCTAACAAGCTTTATGGTTTCGATTATATAATCTCTTGATATGAAGCTGGTGAGTCAGAATCAACAAAAAATCCAAACCATAAAACTGTGCTCAATGTGAAAATTAAAAGTGAAGTAACCTTGTTTGTGGTATCTCTGGTGTCAAATAGCATTGTTTTCCCCTTCAAATTCACACCGGAAAACCCTGGCAAAGGTAAAGTCAGATACCGTTGTCACAAAAACCGGTGTCACGGTGTTCCGGTGTGAAAACAGGCAGGAAAATCAAAATTAAAAAAAATAAAATCTAAAATATATTTCAAAAATATGGGTTTCTTTTCAATTGTTGGACTTTAATGTTATTTCTACTTTGTATGTCATACATGTTGCCAACTTGCCATTGGTGTTTTTTCTATGATAATAAGTACTTGTTATTTGTAATGATACTTTTTTAATTCTCAGCAGGTCGTTCGTTATGCATCGGACTCATTACAAACTGTCGTACATCAAATTACTAACTAGGACAGTATAAATAAAAAACACATTTCACAATTATTTATGCGAGGGACCAAAAGAGCATATATCCTTATTCATCCTTTAGAACTAAACCTTGTGCTCGGTGCATTATGCTACACATTTGATTTTCGCAAGACATCATATAATGCCATTCTTTAAGTTACAATTTTCTTGTATGATTACAAAATAATTAAATCAAAATCTCTTGTTATAAAATACTTTTTAGTGAATGATAGAAATCCAGGACTGTTGGCCATCATTCTGATCTGATACAGATCTCACATTTCTGGGTCAGGGGTGACCCTGAAATTTTAGTTTATTAGTTAGTACCCAAATTAAAATCGCTATATTTTTTTTATTCTCTATTGTTTATTTATTTTTTTGGTATTATTATTATTCTATTATCCAATATTAAACAGCAATATGTATTATTTATTTAATACCCAACCCATGTCAAATTGCCGTTGAAAACGTCGGTTTTGGGTACTGTTATAATAGTACCCAAATTACTATTTACCGAGTTATACAGTGCGTATAAAAAAACGCAACAGATTGTTATCTTGGAAAAGCACAAAACCAGTGATAATAGCATTGATCTCATTCAATGAACCATAAAGCCATGTGTCTCCTCTTTACAATGATATATCATTCATTGATTTTTGGTCATGGTTGGGCGAGTAATCTTTCCATTTGCAAAGTGGGCCAAAATTAGCTTCGGGCCAAGTTATAAACATTGCAAAAGTCAGTGTACGGAGCCCGATGTAATATTGGATAAGAACATAAAACCAATGCTGACTGCATCCTTTTAATTCAATGTTCCAAAAGCCAAATTACTCCTCTTTGTAATGGAATATCATTCATTCACAGGGAGTCATCTCTGGCCGAATAATCATTAATTTTGCAAAGTGGGGCAAATTTCAGCTCGGACCCAAGTTTAAAACATTGCAAAAGTCAGTACAAGGGGCACAGGGGCTATTGGAAGAAGGTGTGACAGGTATGGCATAGACAGTAAAGTGTTCATACTCAATACTCTTGCAAGAAAACATTCTATACCCCCCCCCAAATTGCCACCACTTCCTTGCACATAAAGATGCGCTCATCTGTCCACATCATGCATGGTTTAGCCCTTAATCATGTGTGGGTTTAAAGCAAAGAAAAGCAGCCAATGGACAAATCTTTCTCGAGGTTTTGCAATATCTGGTGGAGGAATTGTAAGCACAGATGCTCCTGAGATAGCTCCAAAGAAAAAGTCACAACAATTCAAGTCAGGGGAACTTTCATTGGCACTTAGCCCTTGCACTGATTTTTTCAATATCTAAAACTTGGTGCAGAGCCGATTTTGACCCACTGTGCAAATGGAAGGATTTCTCACCCAACCATTGCCACATATGAATGAATGACATTTCATTGCAAAGAGGAGAGACGTGACTTTATGGTACATTAAATGAAATTGATTAAGTCATCACTAATTTTGTGATTTTACAAGATAACTACTTGTTGCGTTTTTTATGATACGCCCTGTATAAGACACTGAACAGGTCCCATCCCCTATATTAACTCGGTAAATAGTACCCAACCCAATATTCAACAACAATATGTATTATTTATTTAGTACCCAACCTATGTCAAATTTCCGTTGAAAGAGTCGGTTTTGGGTACTATTAAAAACAAGTACCCAAATTAAAATCGTAATATTTCTTTAATTTTATTTTTCTTTACCCCCAAAAATACCATGCCCCTCTTTTTTATATAAGGCCCCTCAAATAAATCCCTCTTTAGAACGAAGGGCAATTAAGAATGATATATATTATATAAAAAGTAAATAATTGATTTTTTTCTATATTACAGTGTCTTATAATTATATTAACTTGGTAAATAGTACCCAATCCATGTTAAAAGTCGTTTTGGGTACTATTTACTGAATATATAGGGGCAAATGCTAAAGGGAAGGGTGACTAAAAACTTTAAAGAAACCCAACAAAAAAAGCAAACTGTAAGTTTTAATCTGTCATAAGAAAAGTAGACCCTATACATTCCAAAACCATGATCTAACGTGAAAAGAAACAATGTCTAACATCCCCCTCGTCCCCAAAATCGAGAACCAATATCACAATCCAGGACCAGAACACCAAGGGACATTTCATTTATACTGAAGTCATTACAATACATGTTGAAAAAAATTGAAAAAATCTGATAGCCAATACTCATAACATCAAAAATAGTTGTAGATACTAGTACTCATAAAAGAAAAGGTAAAACTTGAAATTTCGAAATGACTATTATATAATTGTTTTTGTTTTTAGTATTTTACATTGGCATTGATATGTTTGGTAAATTTATGAATATAGATTTTTATTTTCCAACATTCCTATATTTTGCAAGGATTTTTTTCTTTGAAATGTGAGTGTACAAATACTTGCGTATCACTGACGTATATTGCCTTTAATTAATGATAATGGCTAGCATATGTGCAAATAAAATACAAGGCACCACTGTATGGTTAATATAAGTTAATGACTTATTTTTCTGTTTACTGTTCATGTGCAGTAGCTGATTTATTCAGTTCTGACAACTCAAGCAACAAGGATGGGTTTGTTGGGTAAGTTCAGTTTGCATCGTAGTTTTATTCATCAATTTCCAAATCAATTTTCAGTTTACAGGCAACTGCTGACACCCATATTGATGTATATAGGATAAGATGCACATGAGAATTCACTTCTGAAAATACTGATAATAGGGAAATTGGCCAAAAGTTACTGAATTAAGTTTCATCCTCCATTTTAAATATAGGCTTGACCTTAATGCTACTGGTAAAAAAAGCGAACGTCTAGCGGTTTAATAAAATGGTTATTTTTTTCTGATATGGAACATCTGAAATCTAAATTGGTCCAAAACCTTGAAATTGCTTTTGAAACCAGGAAAGGCATATGAAGTTATTTTCTATAAAGTTGAACTAATCCTCAAAATGTAAATCATATCAGTGACGCTGAATAGGCAGATTAACCCGTTATTCAGGTTAAGCTACGTTCACACCAACGGCGCTTTGATGGCGCTTTAAAGTTGCTTGTTAAGCGGCACCAAAGCGTAACAAAGCTTGATTAAAGCGTCGGGGTCGTAATAGGTCGTAGAAAAGCTCGAAGTAAACACTGGCATGGACCGCTCTTGAAACTAGAAAGGATATGCAAATCCAAAATACTTAGCCGATACTTTTGACCCTCTTAAAATTCAAAATCAAAGACCATTAAGACATAAGTTAGACTACAGATTGCCAGTAAACTGTCACCGGTTCCTGTTCCTAAATAGGCTAGGATGTATGTTATGCGTCGGTGTAAATCATTACATAAGTTAGACTACAGATTGCCAGTAAACTGTCACCGGTTCCTGTTCCTAAATAGGCTAAGAAAGTATTTTATGCGTCGGTGTAAATCATTACTTACCAACATATGTGCATGACAGCTCAGGTTTTATTTGAACAGCTTAACAGTTTTTTTAAACAAAAAGTCCGGCAAAAAATTTTTGAAATTAAATTGAAAAGTTTCACAGAACACTATGTAATTTGCCTAAGGTTAAACTTTAGATGGGGCCTTTAAATACCAGAGCGGATATTAGTAAAAGCCAAATCCAAGTTTGGAAGACTTACAAATGATAAATATGTAATACTTCAAGAGAAACACCATATAAGCTATTTTAAAGTAGAATAGAACTGAAAACCATCCCTAATTTTTCAGGCTTGTTCACTGGAGTCATATGTTGCTTAATATTTGTAATTGATGAAGGCAACGTGCAGTGTCAAGAAGCAAGCATCAAGGTAAACTATCTGAATGAATTCAAACTAACAGAGATGTTCCTTAAGATAGAGCCAAAAAATACACAACTTCTCCTAGAAACTACTGCCAAGGTAGTCCAAGAATATGTAAAGATTATACCAGAAGAAGATAAGCGTATAGCTGAGAACTCACCGCATATGATGCAGATAATTGGCAAACGTTTAAAGCTGTTTTGGAAACAAATAACAAAATGGAAAAGAACCAGAGTACAACTATTGAATGTATTGAGGAATGATTCTAAGGCTATATTCAAAGTTACAAATAAAACATTTCGTACCATACATAATAATTTCGATGGTGTAATTAGATACGACATCTATTTTGACCGTCGATATCGGGAAAACAGACCAAATTTCATGAACATAAATGAGAACTTACTTGAAGCTTTCAATATTACAAAAATTTACCGCAGCAACATCAAAAGATTGTGTAGGACAAACTCTAATGTAAGTGGACTGAAAGAGGCAAGGAGGATAAAACAAATGTTGAACCAATTCTACTTAAAGTTGAAGAGGCTACTAAAACTGTTAGGCTGGATTGTCAACAACATCCAACAGTTGAAGATTCCTCGAATTGATAGTATGTCTATTACATATTATATATACTTATCAGTGGCGGATCCAGGAATCAACGGGGAGGGGGGGGGGGGCGGGGGTAGGGGCAGAAATAAAACTTCCGCGCAAAAATCTTTTAGGCCCTTTATTTGGGGCCAAATTTACAAATTTTTGGGCCAAATTTGGCGCCTTAAATGAATTTTGGGCATTGAATAGACTTATTAACAACCAAATATTCATTTAGGGCCCGGAATGAAAATTATAAGGGCCTAGTTTCATTTGTTTAAGGACCAGAATGCAAACCAAGGGCCAAATTTTCGGGGCCCAATCTTTTTACTGCCATGTTTTTTGGGCCCAACTAAGGGGGGGGGGGGGGGGGGGGGGCGGACCCCATGCCCCCCCCCCTGGATCCGCCACTGCTTATATCAGATCATAAAATATCATTTCAATTACGATCTGATTTTTTGTTTTACACAAATATAGAATATTATAAATGGAAAGAAAGAAAGCACTTGCAATTGCATTTAAGATTCATTAGAATTGATTAAAATCTTAGCATAATATGCATTCCTCATCAAAACTGTTATTGTATCATTATAGGTTCTTACAATTGCAACAACCAATCGAAGGGTGTTAACCTTATACGGACAGATGACGGTACCAATTTCCTAGCAGTTTGTGACTCAGAATGGCTAGTTGTCGCTCAGAGGTTTGATGGAAGTGTTGACTTCACGAGGCATTTTGTTGAAGATCAGTGTTCGGATGGCCCTCATCCAGTGTATAGCGTTGCCTTTGGAGATCCCCCCTCAGAGTACTTCATTGGAATTGATAATCTCGTTTCTGCAGCTGCACAAGATGTATATATGCTGCGAATTGAGTTGACAACATGGAAAAATGAAACCAGAACAGCGGACTATTTAAAGTTTGATATCACCTCATTAGACTATGCCGATTGGGAACTGTGGTATAGGCCTTCCTGGTATGATTTAAGATTGGGAGAATTCCAAGGAACCGCTGGCGATTCCCTTAGTGATATTGGTGATTGGTTATTTAATCGATTTGGATGGTGGAGCAACTGGTGCCCGAGCAATAAAGCAAATTTATTTGGAAGATATAACAATGGGCCCATATGTAAAAAGGAAATGGATTGTATGAGCTGGAGAGAATGGCCTGATCAACTTCTTAAAGGAAAAGGCAATGAATTTTATTCATTCAAAGCAATGAGAATAATGATTCGCCCACTTCCCATAGACCTCCGACCTTCGGATGAACCTTGTGTTGAACGGAAGTCTGGGATCAATGATATACAGCTTCCAAATGGAGACTCCTTCAAAGCACGTTGTGAGGAAAACTGGTTGCTGGTGGCTCACAGATTTGACGGGAGCGTTGATTTTTATCGCACATGGGCTGAATATAAAACTGGTTTTGGTGATCCATCTGGAGAATATTTTATTGGCCTTGATAACTTGGGAGCACTGATTAGTGACGAAAAAATGAAAAGATATGTGCTAAAGTTGGAGTTCACAACATGGAGTGGTCAAACTGAAACGGCAGAATATTACATTTTTCAAATGCCTGGATACAATGATGGTGATACTAGTGTCACAATGGAAGATTTCAGAGGCAGTGGAAGAGATGTTATGACTGCTTACCAATATTACGATTATACTAATCCTATTATTTACCGCCTAAAGAAGATTTTCTACTATCCCTTTTCTACTTGGGATCATGAAAATAAAATATATGATAGAAACTGCTCTGCTTTGCGTAGAGGTGCATGGTGGTATTACCAACCTCATGGTACAGCCGATGACATCTATGAAGAAGCAAATGTTGACTACCAGAACCGAGATGACTGTGGTGTTGTGAACCCATTTGGACAGTATGTGAATGGAACCAAATGTGACATAAAGTTTGGATGTATGAGTTGGATGGGATGGCCTGGTGAACTTTTCAGCGATGCAGAGCGGGAAGAAAATGAGGAACTAAACAATGCCTGGTATTCCTTCAAGGAAATGAAGTTTCTGATACGCCCAAGAGAGCCTGAGTGGTCTTATTAAGGGTTACGCTTTCCGTATAAAAACAGTATGGCGGCATCAGACGAGTAAACTGGATTAGTCCATTTTTAAGAAATACGGGTTTCTTCAATTCAAGTTTACTGAAATTGTCTAGGAGATTCAATAAATGGTTACAATGAATCATTTTTTATATTAGAATGACATAATGCTTGAATTATGGTCGTTTTAAAAAAAGATAATGGGTCTTAATACGTTTTGAGATATGCCCTGTCATCGTCAGGGGCTGCGGCTTAAACTATTTTGCCCCTTGTTAGATATTGTCAGTTGTTTATAAAACAACAACCAAGACCTGGTCGAATTCATGGAACTTTGAGAAAACATGTTGATTTTCATCTAAAATGTGATGATAACCAGCGGTAATGTCAAAGAAGCTATAATCATCAGAAAATGTGATGATATGCGGCAGTAACGTCGGTAGAGGCATGCAAGACGTTTGATTGCATATGCCTGTTATAGACTATAAGTCATGCCCTCTAAATATAAAAACGTTCCAATACCTCTTTAACATTCAAATAGATATACATTTTATACATTTGTCATTGTTTTAGGCAATTCTTTTTTGTTTGACGCCTAACGATGACAGCGATGAATTCTTTAAATAACATAGTAAAAACCTAATATGTTTGAGATTATGAATTTTTGAATAATTCACACAAGTTTTTTGAATCTACTTGACCAATATTTGAAAAAATGAACAAAAACAAAAAAGCATTCTTATGTAATTATACTAATTAGCCACTGATAATTGATTAAAATCATAATTGATTTCTACATAATGAATATACAATTTATTGAAAACATGCTTAGATTAAACGTGTAAAAATTCGAATGAAAATGTTGACGTTTTTTGACCCCTTGTGATGAGAGACGTAATGTAAATACGGTAATCATATGGTTTATGTATTGTTCCTAACATTTCAGTTGCTTTGGCAACATCCATAGCAACATCACTTGATAATTAGGTTTTTACATATCACATTCTTTAATGAGTATAAAGGTGGTCCAAAATAACACTTTTAGAAATACGCACCTTGAAGATGAAACATTGTTCCTTGAAAGGTAAATAGTCACATGGATTTGTTGAAAAAAGTATAACTTTATTTTACCCCTTTACCACAGCCCCAAAGTTAAACGATCTGGCAAAAACAGGCAATAAACGTTCATTTTCTAGTTTCAAATTAAGAAAGCATTGGGATTGAACATAATTAGTATCCAAAAACATATACTAACTATAATGCTTGATATAACAATATGAAAATTTTAATTATGTGAAACTCGAAAGTATTTTATAAAAATGATTTAGATCTTATTATTGAAACAATGAAAACATCAGTATGCTCAAATTTCATCACCCTCATGTTGAACCTAACCTCGCGTGTTCTTGAAACTGCCACGCTTAATTTGATACAGCCCCAGGGGGATTAACCCCAGAGTTCAAAGATGACCTACGGTTATGTAAACCTGTATTGAGATGACCTACGTCTCTAATTGGTCAACATCGACAAAAAGGCAACCTCAAAATTTTCGAAACACGCTTCGAATAATATATTAGTCCATTTCTGGCGTGTTAACCAATATCATAGCTTCTTATTTCATATCAAGATAAAGAACGGTGTACGGAATATGCTTACATCAATTAAAACATCACATTGCAATGGGTAGTTTTTGGAACTAGCTGGTGAAAATTCGAACAAACGAACTGTGGTAAGCAAGAGACGTAATGATATCTCTTTGATGTCTAAGCGGCTCTGGGGCTTTCCCTCCTGCTGTACAGCCCCTGTGGATAAGGTATGTAATACCATGCCTATATATTTATTAGAAACATTTTAAGTATTGATAATCATATAACATGTATAAATTGAGTAATTTTAGTGTTCATAATTGAGAGAAATAAACGAACAGAAAACATAGTGTCAGTCCCTGATTAAGCATCTCGCTCTGAGTCTAGTTGTAGAAACATTGCAAGCTACAATTCCAAAATAACCCTTTGTAGACTTTAACGTCCCATCTCTTGGTTTGTCTCAAATATTACCGAACTGTCTAGAGTTTGTAAAGGTGACACAAGAAATACCAGCTACTAATCTCGGAATAACTCAATAATAAGGAATCTTTGTGATTTTTATGTGTAGATAGAGCGTTCAATGGAGAAAAGATTGGTATGCTTGCATAGCATCAAAAACTTGGAAATTAAGAGATATCTCATTTTCCGCAGGGGCACGCTCTTACACAAATTCATTCAACAAAAATGTAAATTAGAAAATCTATCATTCTTGAATTTTACCCAATAAGCGAGTTAGTTTATCAAGTTTGACAAAGTTATTTAAGACAAATGGGTAGATGAGACATATTATGATAAAATATGTGTAAAGTTGAAAAACCAATCGAGAAATGACTCAAATAATTGCAAAGACAGAAATCCAGATTTCAGAAAATTGAGCATTTATGAACATTTTCTGATGATTTCACCAAAATCTGAAAGTTGTTGATGCTATGCAAGTACAACAACCTTCTACCATTGAACACTCTATCTACACAACAGATCACGTAGATTCCTAAATTATTGAGAGTTATTCTAGAATTAGTGGGTGGTATTTTTGTGACATCCTGTAAAACACTTTTATTAATCTGCTTATATTTTAAAAACCTATGTTCATCTGGACATAGTTTTCGCTATCACATGCTAGAATCATATAATCGCCACCAAATGGACGTATCAAACTATAAAACAATGCAGAATAAATGTCTAAAAATGACGTTTGAAAACACAGACTCCAACTTGTATGGTGCAATGTTGATATGCGCGCAGTTTGTCAGTGTTTCAAACTGCGTGCATAGTATGGATACCGCGCCGTGGATTTGGAAATTATTATGAAATGTCTTATTTGTTCTTTACATTTATATGCCATCCTTTATTGTGAAGAAAGATACTGTAATAATGCTAATCTATCCAAGCGGATGAAAAAAAATCATGGAGGCTGGCTGATAAGATATTATAAGTAATTCAATGATTGGAGTGAAATACAGAAAATATCCTGCCCGAGAAAGTCTGTATTTCACGAGGCATTAGCAGAGTGAAATACAGACTTTCGAGGGGATTCGATACATTCCAGGGGAGTTAATTCAAAACCATGGGGACTGGAAATCCGATGCTTACTTAGAATATTTAGATTTTCACTGCAAACCAAAATTTCAGTCAGTGAAAATATGTTAAAAAGTATTGGGAGCTTGAATTTGTAAAATTAAAAACATTCAGTGACAGGGTATTTATTATTTATATAGCATGGCGGCTTGTGCACCACAGATTACAGCTGTTTTACAAACTTTCTTACATGGATACCACGCTAAGGGAATGTGTCCTTGCTCGTTTTCACTTTTTTTCACGTTAACTGCTTTCTGTAGAGCAAGGACATCACAGACAGCAACAAAAATTATGGAAATACAAGCTCAATGACAATTGTCATGATAAATCAATAATTGCCTTGTTTATATAAAATAAGAATAACCTTCATGTGTATGTATACCTTATACTGCTGTGTAAATGACAAAGGAATGAATGAATATTAATGACAATAATGAAAATAAGTTAAAAACCCTTTCTAATAAACCCTGCCATGCCTAGCTACAAAACAGAAACATGCGAAATGTCACCACCTGTCATTTGTTACAGGCACCAAATACCAACCGCCGAACAACATCCTAAAAGAGTTGGAGACAATGACAATATGTCACAACTTGTGGTGATGACATAAAAAGTATGAGACTATAACAATATGACACATCTTGGGGTGGTGACATACAAAGTTGGAGACTATAACAATATGTCACATCTTGTGGTGATGGCATAAAGAGTTCGATACTGTAACAATATGTCTCATCTTGTGGTGGTGACTTGAAGTTGGAGACTATAACAAAATCTCACATCTTGTGGTGATGACATAAAAAGTTTGAGACTATAACAATATGTCACATATTGTGGTGGCGACGTAAAAAGTACGGGACTATAACAATATGACACATCTTGGGGTGGCGACATACAAAGTTGGAGACTATAACAATATGTCACATCTTCACGCCCGGTGATCGTACAAAAATGATGGAGGGGGATTAGGCGATTTCTGCAAGAAAACTCAACAAATTTGGAAGATTTATTTTTTCAAGAGAAAATTTACAACTGAATTGCCAAATGAATAGGCGCAGTGCATGGCAAAGTATGTTAGGTCATCTCGTATTTTTTTAAACTAATACCCTTCTAAGATATGAGATCTATTAGAAAAGGCGCATCATCACCAACGTGCAAAAGTCAATGTTTTTGCTATAAATCGGGCAACAATGGTCTACACGACCTGTAATAAATAGGTATAAGGGACGTTATTATCACAATACTAATGACATTGCTCACTTTTTAAAGTTAGTTTCCATGCGTTATACAAAAAATAATCGAAATAAATTAATTTGGGATGGAGGGGGGGGGGTCGGATAAAGCTGGCAATTAAGACAGGTTGACATTTCCTTGATACTGCTATATCAGCACGGCGACTAAAACTAAAATATGGCATCAAATAGGGTGGCGGACCAATTGAACTCCTCTTTTAGATCAAATAAAACCCAAGTTGAAGGATTTGTTACATTATATTATTACTAAGAACCCCTGGCACTATTTAACTGCCAAATTTGGGGCATGTAGGTTGGAAAATGAAAAAGTTGTAGTGTCTTGAAAAAAAAGTGGCGTTTTTTGGCCCACCCTGTACATACATTTAGTCTTTCTTTTGGATGTAATTCAAACTATGTTGGTCATCAAGTCTTAATATATTTGCCTCAAGGTACTGACTATCACGCCCGGTGATCGGAAGAAATGAACGGATGGGGTCAGGGAGTAGCTGATTTTCGCGAGAAAATTCAACAAATTTGGAAGATCTATTTTTAAAAGAAAGTTTACAATTAAATCGCTTATTAAATAGGCGCACGACACGGGAAATTATGTTCGGTCTTGTAGGATTTTTTTTGAACTGATGGGCTTCTGAGATATAAGATCTATTAAAGAAGGTGCAGCGTCACCAACGTGCAAATGTGTTTTTGCTATATATCAAGCAACAATGGTCTACACTATCTGTTATAAATTGTTATTATAACAAAACTATTGTCATTGTTGGTTTTGTAAAACACGTTACCATACGTTATATCAATAATAATCGAAGATAATTAAAATTGAACGGAGGGGGAGATGGGAGTAACAGAGTAATGTCTATAAAGCATATGATAAGAGATGTAACTTGACTTTATTTCCAATGACTCCAAATGTCCCTATTTTCCCTCTTAAGAGTTGTAACATTCTGTTCTTACTGAGTTACTTTTTTCAATTACACGAATCCGCGGAAATTTCTTCCACCGTAAAGACATATAAACGATTTTTTATCTAACGTATGGAAACGTATTTAAAAAAACCCAGCTATGAGATTAATTTTGTGATAATAACGTCCCTTATAAGTATTTATTACAGGTCGTGTAGACCGTTGTTGCTTGATTTATAGCAAAAACGTTGACATTTGTCCGTTGGTGACGCTGCGCCTTTCTCAATAAATCTTATATATTAGAAGTCCATCAGTTCAAAAAATCCAAGAAGAATTAGCGAAATCTTCCAGATTTGTTGAATTTTCTGGTGAAAATCAGCTACTCCCCCTCCGTTCAATCTTCCGATCAGCAGGCGTGACTATACAACATTAGCTAACACAACCTCAAATCATTTTGATAATTAGAAAAGTTAATATATTCAGCTGTTTAGGCACAAAAACATGCTGTATGGGTCTAGAGGATTTAAGGAATATGGGTACAAATAGAACTAAAACGGCATTCCTCCAAGGTCCATGTGCAGTATGGCAAGTGATTTTAGACGGTCATATCTTTCAGCAATGGGTACTTTCTGGCCATTAATACAGTGTTTTTTATTAAAACAATGTATAAGATAAGAGTTAAGGGATAAGAGTGATGGAATATGTAAATTTTGCACACTTGACGTGAAAGATACAATGCATCACAGATTATTATTGTGTCCCTTTTTTACCAAGGAAAGATCTGTTTTTTGTAGTAATGTTAATACATATGGCTCTAGTGATCTTTGTGCAACACTGCTTGCATCAAGTAATGACCAAGTTAACAACGGTGCTTGGTGATAATGTGGAATGGGGGCATGATATTAATTCTAGTTTTGATAAAATTGCAGTTTTTAGTCAAAATTTTTAAACCAAGAACTGTATGATTTTAGCAATTTCTATTTAAATGTTTAATAGTATGTGATTTTATATACGTAGACGCACCTAGAATTTAAATGTTCCACATTTAAATGTGCTGCTGTACTAAAAGCATATGTCTGAATAAAAATAAATATATTTTCTTTCAAGTGAAGTCCCCGTGATAGTAAAATATCATTGTAACTCTCTAAAAAATTATGGATTAGGACCCAACCTTTGCACTTTTTAAAAAAATGTAAGGCTCATTGTATAAAAAGAGGATCTTGTTTTTCTGAATTTTAACATATCAAAATTTTCATCTACATTATTCTGAAAATGGGATGCGTATTGAAAAAATACGCATCCCATAAAATCACCTGCCATACTGCACATGGACCTTTATTAATTTCATAAGAAAACAGCATACTAACTCATAAGGTACAAATAAAATATGAAAATAATTTCACAAGAGAATATAGCAAACTCAAAACACATCAGCTACATTAATTTACCATTATTTATTTTATTGTTACTTAGCTGCATCATGGGCTTTCAACTAGTTGAAAGCCCATGGCTGCATTTAGCAGGCCCATTGCCGTGATTGTTCAGGTGCCGATGTCGGCTGTCAAAAACCAAAACCCAAATGGCCTCAAAAAGTGATTAGATGGTCTATGAGTGTGTCAAGTATGGACCCTTTCCTGTATTTGAAAAAAGTTAATGAATCACCAGGCTCTTCGTCAGTCAAGTATGAACCCTTTCATGTATTCTCATGTCAAATGGTCTTGCAAAGGACTTATCACAAGTTTTACATTTGTATGTTTTTTCCTCAGACACTTTGCTAACTTCTAAAGCAGAAGAATTACTGGCAATCATTTCAAGAAATTTACTTGTTTTCGATGAGGAATCTTTTTGTTTTACGAATTGATTTTTCATAGAGTGAATCATATCATGCTTTTTCAATTCAACTCTAGATTTGAAGCCTATTTCACATTGCTTGCAAATGAATGGCGTTTCTCCTGTATGTATCATTACATGCATTTCTAAATTAGCACTGCTAGCAAAAGATCTCTCACAAAATTTACAAATGAATGTTTCATCATTCGCATGTGTTATGATATGCCTTCTCAAATTATGAGATGTAGTGAATTTCTTTAAACAAATCGTACATTCAAACGGTCTAAGGCATCTAAGATGTGACAGCTCATGGCGTGCTAATCCATGTTTCTCTCGAAAGGATTTATCACAGTATTTGCATTTAAATTGTTTTTCAGTGTGAATTAAACGATGTTTCTTTAAGATACCTGATGTGCCAAAACATTCAAGACATAAATTACACTTATATGGTCTTTCCCCTGTGTGAACTCTTACATGTACCTTCAATGCACTAGATTGTCTGAAGGATTTACCACAGAATTTACACTTATATGGTTTTTCACCAGTATGAATCATTTTGTGCTGTTTTAAAGTTAGAAGAGTTGTAAAATATTTATCACAGTACTGACATTTGTGTGGTTTAACTCGAGAATGAATTGATTGGTGTCTCCTTAATTCATATGGCGTCATAAACAATTTCAAACAATCATCACATTTAAACATTTTCTCACTGGTATGTCTCATTTCATGTGATCGCAAAGCACCAATTGTTCTAAACCTCATCCCACATAGTTTACATTTGTACGGCTTCTCACCAGTATGAATTCGCATATGAACTTTCAAAGCTTCTGATTTTCGAAATTGTTTAGAACAAATTGTGCATTTGTATTGTTTTGTTCCAGTATGTATCATTTCATGCCAGTATAAAGTACCCTTATGAGTAAATTCTTTTTCACAATATTTACACTTGAATAATCTAAGTCCAGTATGGATCCTCTGATGAAGTTCTAGTTTGTTTAAATATAAAAAAGATTTTGGACATGATTTACAAGTGAATCTCCTCACTTTGCCCCCGCTATGTTTGTATAATTTATGTGATTTCAGATCTTTGAAAGATTTATTGCAGATTTTACATTCAGTTGGAGTTTTCTCTGTAATTGGTGTCTCTGAGTCTGATTGGGCTAATTCAATCAAACTTGGCTTTTGATGTGTTCCTTCAGAGAAATCATGTTGTGGACCTGCCCCAATCTCTTGTTTGATGTTTGACGTATCTTTACCATATTCTAGCATGCAGTCTTCAACCTCGATACATCCATCATCACCTGCTACCATATCAGCGCTTGACTTTCCATTTTCATTTTGCTCATACTTTACAGTGTTGCTACCATAAAAATCATTTCTTCTATGATAGTCATTATGATTCAGATTTGCATGTAGATCCTTGTTGTTTTCAGTACATCCCTCAAGACTGGGACTCAGTTCACAATCTGATGATTGAATAGGTGCAATATTACATGCGTTTTCTGGATCCATGTTTTGATAATCATCTAACAGAGGTTCTTGTTTGATGCATGTATCAAATGGAAGACATATATCTTGGTCCTTGATTGGATCATCGAGGCTGTTCAATTCCTCCTTAATACAAACAAAATGGTCACTTTTAGATAAATCGTCAAGGAAAGTATATTGCTTTATAGATGCATCATCATGTATGGATGATTCATCACATTGCTTAGGAGTGTCATCTTGTCCCTCACCAATACATTCAGATGGCTCGTGGGAAGATACGTCATTCATTAATGAGTTTTCTTTGAAATCATCTTGTCCCTCACCATTACATTCAGATGGCTTGTGGGAAGATATGTCATTCATTAATGATTCTTCTTTGAAATCATCTTGCTTGACATATATATGGCTTTCCTGTTTTGATGACACATGTTCACCATTATAATATAAAGGATATTCAGTTGATTCTGGGAAAATATTTTCGCCCTCTCCATCATCCTTAATCTCTTGCTTTATGGTATCCCATTGTAGCTCTGCCTTTAAACTCATCGTGGGAATTCTGGAAAATAATCAAACACTGCTGTGGTAATATTTTCGAAGTTCATGTATGTTAGATATCATATAAGCAATTATATAAGGACATGACTGATTGTCCGGGTGAGAAACCTAAGAGACAAAATTACATTTCTCAACTCAATGCCCTAATATGTCACTTCCGCTGAATGTAAATTAAAACAGTACTGTCGGGTACTAGGCTCACATAGTGTTGAGATACTAGTATTCTGGACAAAAAGTTCGAAATAACCACCTAAAAATTTACCCAGAAAATCCAAAGACTTTACAAACAAGATTTTAGATTGGCCACCTTAAAATTTACTCAAATTGCCCAAAAAACTATTAAATTGTTAAATTTTATAGGCTACCAAGAAACATCCCTAAAAATTTCAGATCAATCTATCAGATAGATTGGCTTGAAACCTGTTGACAAGACTTCATAAACAAGATTTTAGGATCAAAAATGGCAGACAATAGAAAAGATATAATTTTTTGCTGATTTATTGAAACAACTTATTTTATAAGAATACTGTTCACAGTGACATAGGTTTTTTACAATGCAGGACATCTGATATAGCATTATTCATGAAGCTACTAAATGCCGAAAAAGTGAATTGTGAACAACAAAAATGATAGCCATTTTGAAAATAGGCAAGCCTTCGAAGCATATTTTTTGACATATTCTGTCATGCAATACGCATTTTTTCCTGAGTGTCCTCAAGCACAGGAGGAGAATATCAAACAACTAATGCAGAATGATCGCCGAAAAAACAAAGTTTGTTTAGAATGTTCATGCAAATAACATATAGTCTGTTTATGGAGTTCATGAATCCGAGTGAAACAAGCGCAAAAAATTTGAGGTGTCTAAAATTTGGATAGAGCTACATTCAAAACAGAAAGGTTTGTGACCAGAGGTCGCAAAGGTGCTGAAAACCAGTACCGGTAACTGTCACGCTAATAACCGTACCGTTACCGAAATACCGGTAAAGATATGTAAGATAAAATGCCAATGCGCTGCCACCCCCACTTTGTACCTAACTCTCTCCGTAGGTTCTCAAGACAAGTATATATGCATAGCATACATGGTGCGAGACCGATTTGAACCCATACTGATGAACTTCACGAAATAGTATGTAACTATCTTACGAATCAAGATGTATATTTAGTTTTAAATTAAATGTATTACACATTTCAAACCATTTCTCAACTGTATCAATAGCAAGCGACATGCAGTATACATGGGGTGGGGTAGGTAAAATAGATTCAGTGCAGCTGGCAACACCACCACTTCCAAACGGGCACGGCTTCAACCTGAGGTTGTCAATGCCTTGTTGTTTGTAAAGGAGTGGTATCGATATGGAGAACTGAATTCAACAATGTTTTTCTCTTAAACCAATCATTAAAAACATTCTGTAAAAAACACGGCATTGTTGACTGATTGACTCAATCAGTCAACATTAGTTGACTTCAATTAAATGCGAAAATTATTTAGAAATATTTTATATAACTGTTTTTGTTAACATTTTTTGTTTTTTAAGTGCAGTTTTTTTTGCTCCTTTCTACCAATTCTTGAGAATGAAATAAAATGTCTTTCCGAACCTTGTTGGAACAAAATAGCATATGCGACATGTTTTTATACCTCTCAATATTATAGTTATACAAAGGAATTTTTAAAGTATTCAGAAAATTAAAACAAAATCCCCCCAAAATAGATAAAAATCAAGATCTAGATAAACCTTTTATTTTATTCATTAACAAGATACTTTTTTGAAATCAACCAAAATTTCCTTTGTACAATAACAATATTGAGAGACCTAAACATGTTATGTTTATGTCGTTTTGTTCCAATGAGGTTCGGAAATATGTTTCATTTCACTCTGGAAACATGATACCAAGAACAAAACAAGTGTTTGATGTGTTTTCTAAAATAATATAGATGTAAGTATATATATATATTTCAAATTATTTTGTTACCATTCAAAAGATAACCATTAAATTGACGATGTGTTAACTTTTTAGATTTTGCTTATGACTGGTTTAAGAGAAACGTGTGTTCAAACAGTTCTCCATATCGATACCACTCCTTTTTGTTCGTAAAAACATTTGTTGTTCGTAAATGAGTATTACATTGTACAAACATAATTCAATTTCTGGATCTGACGTTGACACTACAACTACACCGGAACTGCCAAACATAACTACAACCAAATCTGAGCCTGAGCATGAAGCTACTACACCCGAACTGCCAAACATGGACATCACACCTGAACTGCCAAACATGGAAATCACACCTGAACTGCCAAACATGGACATCTAAATGTCTATGTAAATGTACGCATCGTGAAAGTGGAAATTAAACGAAATAATTAAAAAAACGACGTGTCTTTTATTTCCCCGGGGATTATCCACGGTGTATAACCCAAACGCTCCTACATGCACGACGGAGCGTTACATTTACGCGGAAACGCTCCGGAGCGAAATAAAATGGCGGCTAATGAAGATTCTACTATGACCGTAAGTATTGTTTCTCTCGTTTCTCTTACATATCATATGTCATGGTGAAATATTATGTACCATTCGATGAACAATACCGTGAGCAAAGATCTTATTTATTCAACTTTTGGTGGTAAACTGTTATTTGCTTGATCAAAGCTCCGTAGTGTAGATCGAACGAATCTGAAGATGACGATTTGACCACAAATTACGAATTAAACTAGTATTTCTATGAAAACGTTAATCTTTCTGTTTAAGCAGTAGATCACAAACTCGTATATTCTCATTTCCTAAAATCCCAGTCCAAATCCATTACTTGTTCTCGAGAAATCGCTTGTTTTCCTCGAAACGCTCCGTCGATTTAGACCACAATTTTAGAAACGCTCTTACCATTTTGTTTTGATATCATTTTCAGATTATTAGAGAAGAGTTCCGAATCGAATCTATCTCTCAAAAACGTGTTGTACTTGTTAGGCAAATTGAAACATCTGAACCTGGTGGTGCTAAACGTGCAACTAGCTGATTAAAGCCTATACATTAGATGATGTCATGCCTACATATGTGCTAAATCATAAAACTATAGAAAAAAACGAAAAGTTATATGTGAATTAATCTTTCTTCTATTGATGCCAAGGGGTATAATAGATCTTTTCTTTCTCTTCCTGAAAAGGAAAGGCAAGCTATATATTTCCTTAACTGATCTAGACCACCGGAGCGTTTCCAATTCACTGTGTTAACCAGATCGGAGCGTTTCTTGAATATGAGAATGTCATCATTTTTAAGACTGGATTTTCGGTCATCAAATCACTATTACGATAATGTATGGTGCGTTGAAGCATTGGAATTTGACTAAAATATACGTTGGTGCTCTAATCTTGGCTCAACTAATCACAAGTATCGACAAAAGGGGTTTTGACCGGTAGAATGACAAATGCGTTTTTGAATTTTGATAACTATACTGCTTCGTACAGCTCTTCCTAATTGCTTCAAACGTCAACAGCCAGCCATGTACAACATGAATATCACACCCATCGAATGGTATACTCGAAATATGTAACTCATACCTCTTATTCCCATTATTGGGGAAATTGTCAGACGGCTCATCATTCCCGCCAGACAGTTTTCCTACTCCGGAGCGTTTCTTTGTTTAATTTCAGTAATGGAACGCTCCGTCGTGCATGTAGGAGCGTTTGGGTTATACACCGTGTTATCGTCGGTTAACCGGTTAATAATTTCAATACCGGTAAATGCTCAATTCCGTACCGAAACCGTATAACCGGAATTACCGTCAGCCTCTATTTGTGACTACTTTGAATTTAAAAAATAAGCAATCAAATGACCATATTGAAACAGTTTATATTCATCCTAACTTTTGTATATTTTAGTTTGTTTTGTAGTTTAGCTATCATATCTGTAGTACGTATCCAACAGACCGACTAGATGTCAGTCTGTTATGATGTATTACTTTCCTGTGGAAATTGCAGTGAAATTTTTTTGCACAAAATTATCAATTGGAGGAATCATTTCTTCAATAAAATAAACATTACAAAATTTCAATTAAATAGTAAGGTACAATTAAATGCAATAAAAAGTAACACTAATAGCACTTCCTATGTAAACAAATATTTAGAATTACCAAACTTTAACATAGGTGCCTTATAGTCTGAATATAATTCAGACTAAATAGGATATAGTCTAATCATATCTGTGTCCTCTTATATTTTGATACTTCTCTGCCATATTATTTTCGGAAAAATTAACATGGCTGAGACTCCCTAAATTACAAAAGGCCACAGCTTTGCTGCACATTATACATTACTATCTGAAATATACAAAAGTTAGGATAAATATATATGTTTCTATTTTTACATAAACTGTTTCAATATGGTCATTTGATTGCTTATTTTTTAAATTCAAAGTAGTCACAAACATTTCTGTTTTGACTGTATGCAATAAAATTTGAGTGTTGATGTGTTCAGAGTGCAAAGTCACAAAAATATTGGCTCGAGTGTTAGTTGAAATACACATATAATTAGCAGACTTTCAATCACAATTTGGATACTGCAGGATTCGTGAATGTTTCAGCTATACCGAGAAGCAGTCGATATACGAACATATTAATTGATTATAGAGATAATTGAAGAAAAGTACATGAAATTTATGTGAAGGAATTTGAAAATCACATGGATAGGTGAAAAACTGTGTACATGTAGCATATTAATAGGATTAAAAGTTAGGATATAGGCAAGGTTGCATATTGCCAGTGTACATAGGATATACATTTGTAAGTAGTTGCACAGCATATAAATAGGATTAAAAGTTAGGCTATAGACAAGGTGGCATGATGCCAGTGTACATAGGATACAAAACAATTCGTTTTGAAAGCATCAATTAACTGTGCTAATCTACTTGTTTGACAAGAAATACTAGCAATGTACATAGAAACTTGACATCTTGAACACTATTTTGTTAACAGAATGACTGAGTTAAATTTAACACTCAAATTTGAAGTGAGAGTCAGTGGGTGGGTTAAAGAAGGTGACATTTTGGATGCACTTCTTAAACATGGAATTGAAGAGGATATCGAGTCCATACAGGTGACAAGCAAATATGTGTACATAGGT